GGATTCCTCACCTGCTTCGTGACTCTCCTGTTGCCCTGTCTGTCGAGCGCTCAGCCCATCCCTATCCATAATTGGCTATTTTGGGAGCGAGCCACAGTCCTATTCGCAGCTGCGGAGTTCGCCATTCTGTGCGCAGGGGATGAATTCATCGTGATAGTGATACATTGATATCTCTCCTCCCATTTCCATCACACTCTGTTTCTCAGCATCCTGTATGTCATTGCTTACCCGTCGTTTTATCAATTCCTCGCACTTTCTCTATCTGTACACTGTTGTCAACAGTCAATGGCTTCATTTCTGACTCGTAATTGTTGATGGCGTAGCGGTTCACCACCATCTTTCGTTCGAGTGACCCCTCCTGATTGTGCGAAGATCATCGAGCCCTCCTCGGACGGATACTTTCGCCTTGCCATCACAATCCATATCTTACGACCGAACCATGAATCGATTTCGGAAAAGCAGAAAGGAGAAAGTAAAGGAGGATGGCGAGAGCATGGAGAGTGTACCGACATCACTGACCTCCAAGTTGTCAAGGAAAAGCAAAAAAGGAGAACAAGAAGAAAAACCGGAGCTCGACCTCGCAAATGCCCTGCCATCCACGGATGACTTTCGTACCAGCTTGCTGATGCCAAAGTTGTCAGCACGTTTCAGCATGCTGCGAGAACAGGACGACCCCGACTCATTGATCGGCAAAGCGAGTGACGACAGCGTCCTCTTCCCCAAGCGCGCTTCCCGGTTGAATCTTTTCGGGCACAGTCCCAACCTTTTGGCAGACATTGACGAGGCTTCCATAGATGGTAGGCCATCGATCAACCTGGGCCGTACCGATTCGTTCGTCTCCGGCGGCGACGGTGGCTATGGGACCGATGACGATCGCTCGCACAATGGCAGCATCATGAGCAGGGCCCGGCGAGCCGAGGGCAATAATCTATTTGGTGGACGGCAAAAGGTTTATAAGATCCCGACCAAGTCAGGGAATGGTTCCGGGACCGAGTCTGGTCGAGCACCAGTGGGACGTGCCCTATATGAGCACGACCTGTCCATGTCTGCTTTTCAGCGCTTGAAGCTGAAGGAAAAGGAGGAGGAGCGCGCAGCCGAAGAGACTCAACACGGATCTCCAGCCCAAGAATCGGAGGATGGTCTATCAAGCATTTCCTCCATGAAGCGGACAGCCTCGTCCTCAACCGCATCGGGGCCTACTGCCAATGGTCGCACGTCAACGGCAGCCACCTCGATCGACGAGGAACCATCTTCCACAGCGTCTGGTGCTGGCGAAAACTTCAAGCCAGGATTCATAGGGGCCATGGCCCCTGAACGTGGCTCGGTTAAATCTCGACGTCTCTATGGGCAAGGTCTTGCTCAATCCGCACAGAACCAGCAGAACACTACACTGTACCGCCTGGAAAGTCTGAGTCGCCAACGTGTGGGCACGCCAGAGTTGCCTCTTCTTAACCGGACGTACTCCAGGAGCGCGACCAATCTGCGTGACCGCCTCCAGAAGCTCGCGATCACTGAGCCAACACTTGAGACTTCCCGCCCGAACAGCCCTCCTCCGTCCTCGGCCACGTCGCCAAAGTTGCCGAGCATTGACAGCGACCCCAAGGGACCAAAGTCGCAACTGACTCCCGGCTATGGAGTACCGCCACTGAGTCCGCCTGTCAGCGAGAATGAGGAAGTAGGAACATTGGCGGCCGCCTTGCAACCGGAAGATCATGGGAAAGCTACGGCGATGGGCCTTTTCAACAAGCCTCAAACCGCCTTTGATGAGAATCAGTTTACGCGACGTCAACTGCAAATGCACCAGGGCAGGAGCACACCGCCCCTTCGACGAGCTCCATCACCTCCCGGTCGGATGACTCCACAGGAACGCAGTGGACGTTCTCGGGGTCTTTCAAATACGAGCGGCTGGTCCAGACCTGAGTCCGCCTCATCTCATTACAGCGAGTCCCATCGTGCAGCGAACCATTCGATTGCCCCGAGCATCGAAGCTTCTCCCGCCGCCCCGGCAAATGGCACGTTTTTCGCAAACTCCAGTCCTGATGCATCCGATGATGAGGGTGATGAATTCAATGCAAGGGACGTTGCGGCTGCTATTGACGCTGTGCACCCTGCTTTCCGGTCTAGCCCACCATCCAAGCCTGCAACTCCCCCAGAAGAACATCAAAGCGTTCTGCCTGAAGTTCGGTTCTCCGATCTCGGTGATCTGAAGCCTATTGCTGAGAATGAAGCATCGGAAAGTGCAAGCGTTGCGGACAGCAACGCTCTCCCTGAGAAGCCCGACTCACCCACCCTCGGACCCTCGGGGCTTGGACTTAGTGGTCTGATTCGCACCCATCTCCGACGTGACAGCGATCGCTCGTCATTCCACGTACCACACTCTCCTGCCTTCCCACCAGAACCCAACGATGACGATGTTGATAGATCCGTTGCCAATGGATCGGATACGGTCGATGGTTATTCTCAGCGCGCGTCGACGGACGGAAACAGCTCAAGGGACTCACAGGACAACTCCAAGGTACTTCCTTGGGAAGATGAATTAAAATCAAAGCATAGACGTCAAGGAAGCACCGAGACCCAGCGGGAGCGGGAAGAATTCGAGATCGAGCTTGCGGAGCGGCGTAGGAGAGTGCAGGAAAAGCTGAGGGGGTTTGCTGAGAGCGAGAGTCGATCAGCTAGCCCGATCTCCGGGCGTCAAACGCCAGACTACCCCCCTCAAACAAAGCCTGGCAACGCATTTGCCCTTTTGAAGAGCAAGAACCCCAAACATCCCTTCTTCAGCAGACAAGACCCGAAGAATTCCAAGACGCTCGGGCTCGCCAGCGCATCCACTCCATCCTTGGTACCGGACGACCCCTGGCGAGAGGAGGATGAGAAGATGCCCTTCAGCTTCGGCAAGCACTCCAACACCAGCTCACCGCAGATCGCCGGGGAGAGGTCTATTCGATCCAGAATGGCGGCTTTTGGCGGCCGCAGCAGTCACGAAGACTCCCGCGAATCGAGCCGCAGCCGTGGCGCTTCGCCGCATTCGAGCATGAGGTCTCAGAGGGATCGTTCGAGCTCAGACGCCTCCGGCCGCTCCAAGAGTCGAACACGATACCGCGATCGCGATGATCTGGGAACACTGGAAGAAGATGCTGCTGGCCCCCCAGAGCCGTTCCCGCACTTTGACCAGCGAGCCGCCCCTTCGGTTCCAGCTTCCACGCGCCCATCGGTAGAGGTCAATGATCGTTCGGCCTCCTACGATCGTTGCTCGTCGGCCGCATCTGGACGATACCGCAGCGGGAGTCGGTCTGCCACATCGAGCTACTTTGATCGACCTCCCGTTCCCCCGCCTTCCACCAACCCTTCTATGATTGGAGTGTCCCCTCGGCCGTCTCCAATCGCTCCTTATTCCGCCAATGCCACACCACCTCTGCACGAAATGTCCCCGAATCCTTCTACGACATCTCTACCCACCCATGCAACCGCCGCCCATACTCTGCCCCAGCGAGCCCCAGGCCATGGCGGCCTTCAGAAGCGGGTCATCGACAAGACTCAGATCTCCGAGCCAACTTTTTTGTCATGCACATCCAACGTGCCAACTGTGGGTCTTCCCCCAGGCGCGAGCTTAAGCAATGGCATGGAGACGCCCCCAATCCCGCCTATGAACCCACGACGACGACGCCAGACCACCACCCAGACCATCCTGGGCGCTCTCAAGGGCGAGAAGCACGAGTCGTACTACCCGGCCTCGATAGTCAGCAGCCCCCCGGAGGAACATAGCACCTTCTCCGACGACAACAACAAGCGGCCCAAGTCCAGACACAACAAGCTCCGCAAGACCTCCAGCGAGGGCGGTAGTCTGAACTCCAAGGCCCGACAGCAAGCCATGGCTGCTGCCCCTGCGCTTCCTACACCGGCTATCCCGCAGTACCCGCCGCCCAATATCCCCATGGAAGGAGGAATGTTCTAAACGTATCATTTCCTCAACGAAGTCCTCTTCACATTCCCTCGTATAATTCCTAGTCATGTTGTCTGCCTAGCATCTCGGATTCCACAATTTCCCTCCTTATATCTCCTTGTTATTCGATACCTCTTGATTCAGGATTACTTCTTTTCGTCGACGACCATATACCAACTGCGTTCTTTTCATGTTGAGCGAATGGAGATTATTTCTTGCTTACTGGGGTTACTACTCATATATAGCTAGTCTTTCCTTACATCTATCGATTCACATACCTCTTCGTTTTGGACATCATCCGCATCGAACTAACACTAAGGTATATTGTAAATATAGACAAAACAATACAAAAGTGTGGTCTTTAAATGACGTTAGAACGCCTAGGAGACATGTAAAACTGGTCCCTTTTCGGAAAAGTAAAGAGAAGAAACCAGGAGGTCAAGACTCGAGGGGTCTGTTTACCTCTGTGAGCATTATTTCACACTGAGATGCATCACATGGTAAATATCAGCCCTGACGTTTGTGTCTTCTCCCTATTAGTACTTTAAGAAAATAGAAGTAGTGATTATAGGACATATCCTCCGCACTTGAAAGATACAAGCTAGTTTGAAACACAATGTGTAGAATTAGAGGGTTGCATTATCACTATACTGAGAAGACTGTTAGTGAAGCTCGTCCCAGACCTGATGACATCGCTATAGCGACCAAGCAGTAACAGAGCGAGAGATTTCTTCATACACCCTTCAACACATTACTCTCTCTTTAATTTTTTTCCATTTTTCACATAACTTCCATCTTCAACTTTCTGCTCCATCTCATAGAAAATACCCCCCTAAAATCCAAAACACATCTTCCATGATATCTTCCTTTCCCTGATTGCCTTCGACAGACAAAGAAGAAGAAAGAGTGGAAGAAGGCTATGCTTAGGCGCTACTCTGTCTGCATCACTGATTTACCGTCTTTTCCTCAGGTCTCCGGATCCCCTGGCGAGCCTTCGTTCGACTACCGTGATCCCGACTGCAGATCTGCCCTGTGCAGAAACTGCTGCTCAGTTCCCCTCATGGCGTCGATGGTGCTCCCGCAGTTTGACGGATACGCAGAGAACCGCAAGGCCAAGAAGAAGGCTCACAAGAAGAAAAAGAAACAGAATAAGAACAAGCAGTCGGCGCAGGGTGACTCTAACGCCCCTAGTCGCAGCGAGTCTCCTCCGTCGTACAAGAGTACGGCTGACGATGCCGATGCTAATGCTGCCCAGTCGCGCGCTCCATCTTCTGTGGATACGCTGCGCCTACCGCTGATTGTTGATGGGGCATCCTGGGGGAAGAAGCATGCCCAGGCTCAGAGTCAATGTGAGTTTCAGTGTTATCCCGTGGAGAATGAAGCTCCTGATCATTCGCTCCTAGCTGGCTATGGTGTGAATCACGCTTCTCACTCCTACCCTGACACCTCTTTTGCCGCACAAAGCTCGGCTGCTGCTTTGCATTCCCCTTCCATTGCGGCAGCCACTGAAGAGACAATCCGCGCTTCGAGTGTGCAGAGTCGGATCCACGCGGACGTGAGCCACTCTTCCACGGACCCCAAGAAACTGCCCTATTGCCAATTTCATGGAACGGCAACCTGCCGATTCGATCCTGCATGCTGTGTTCACAAGGCCCGGGCCGATTGCGACTGCCCACGTCGGCCCTCATGCTGCTGTGTCCATCACGCTGGAGATTGTTGTACCTGCGTGTACGTTCCGCGAAGCGGATATCTCAATGGAGCGTACAGCTTGGTGGGCAACGAATATTTACCATCGTATGCGCCGCACCCAGTCGTCAAGCACGGCGCCGGGATTTCAGCTGATCCCAACCACGTTTCTGAAAACTGGCCGTTGAAAGAGAATGGAATGAGCTCTAAGCATTCCGCTGAAAATCGGCCTTTGCATGAAAATGGAGGTGAGTTTCATCGAGTGAGTCAGAACATGGCATAGCCTGGAGGCTGATCGCGTCCCGCAACCAGGCGCAAAGAAACATTCCGATGCCGCTACGGAGTATGACAACGGTTCCCTCGCCGCGTACGTCCTTCGCCTCTATGACAGCGACGAATTTCACGACTGCCGGATCCTATTGAAGTCGGGCAAAGACAACTTTCCACCAATCACCATCCGCACACACAAGGTGTTGATCGCTCGTAGCCCTCTTCTCGCCTCGATTTTGAAGTCACCTGCAACCAAGCAGGAAATACCCGAAATAGTAGCCATGGCCGGTGAGAACTTCTTGTTGGTCAAGGCGTTTGGAATTGCGCTTCAGAGTCTGTACGGGTTGGCCCTCTTGAACCAGAAACGGCTCAGATCCATGACGCTCTTCAGTCTGGGGTACACCGAAGAGAGTATCAAGTCGTCTCCATATCCAATCAACACGGCACTGGCGGACTTTGCCATGTGCTACGCCAGCTCCGGGGCTTTCCTTCAGCGACGTGATATCGTTGAAACAGGTATCAAGCTGATTGTAGAAGCCATCAACTGGGACAACATCGAATTGATTTTCTACTTCGGCTTCTGCATATCCAAATTTCTCATCACGGCTCCTCAGATTGCAGAGCCTGAGGAATCCTCGCCCGACCAGCCAGTCACCGACAACCAGGGAACGCCAGACAAGGCCAACGACGCCAATGACGAACTTCAGACCAAGTGGGCTCCGCATCTGCTAACCGCCGCGTTGGACTTTGTCATCAGCCGCATGGAAGCCGGATTCACCTTGTTCCCTCAGGCCCACTGCAAAGGCATGCCCGACCGAATCCCCGAATACTTGCACTCCTCTCCAACCCCTTCCCTCCCCAACCCGAAGCTGGCAGAGGTCAAGTTCGGTTCGTTCGCGGCTCTCGAGGAACAGAAGCAAGGCCCGGAGATCGTGACCACCTCGGCCGTCCTCGTGTGCCTGCCATTCAAGCACTTGAAAGAGGCCTTTGTCAAAATGAATGCACGCCGGATTCTGTCGAGTAATCTGGCCCAGGCCATCTTGCTAGAGCGCGAGCAACGACGGGTTCAGGCCCTGCGTGCGTTTGCTCGGCTGCGCGCCCAGAGCAGCGAGCAGGAGATCCCATCGGAGATACTCGAGCTGGGTTATCGCGAGTTCTTTACTTCGAGAAACGTCTTCTCGGACACAGAGGATGACTCGGCCACCGCATCTCTGGAGATTTCTCTGGAAAGGGAATGGATTGGTTTGGCGGTTGGAGAGGTAGTCGTCAAGCACAGGGTGATCAAAGAGGCAAAGGAGTAGACCATCTTGCATTCCCGCCTATCATTTTCTACATCTCATTATCTAAAGGACAGCGACTGGCAATGAGTTGAAAAAAAACTGATTAAAATATTGACAGCCTGAATTATAGGCTGCTTTGTCTGGGGAAAAGTGAAGCGAAACAAGGCAGAAAGCATTGACTGTGACGGAGGCGGTGAGATGGTCATTGAGCGGTTTCAGGATTTGCTGTTGCTCTCTTTTTTTTCACCTCACCTTGGCTTGTAGATAGTACCTATCAGGATGACCTGTGTTATAGCTCGTCTCGTGCTTTGCTATCCTGAAGGAGCACATATTCGATGTTGGTTACATGTATTTGTTGCCTCTGTCGACCTTTTGAACACCGCCCTTTGGCAAGATGTCTCGAGTACTGGAGTTCTTATTCATAAATGCAAACGAAAAGTCTGTACAAGTTTCTTTCTATACAATACTAGATTCTAGACGCGAAGACCGCTTTTTATCCCTATATCCAATCTTCGTTGACATGTACAACCGCGTTGCTCAATCTAGGGAGGCGATAGGAAACGTCGCTTACGACTTATCCGGGAAGCCGAAATCAACGCCGAAAGGAGGATAGACGAAACGCTGGAAGGCCTTCTTCTCGGCGAGTTCGTTTGTGTACTTGGCGATGGTAGCCATATCCTCATCATCGAGCTTGATCAGGCTGGTGCGGTTGTCCTCGATACGAGCAGGTGTGACGGACTTGGCAAGAACGGAAGATCCACGGGCGACTATTGCAGTAGATTGTTAGTGAGTTGCAACCGAGAAGGGGAATAGGGCTGGCAATGAAAACGTACTGTGCCAGCTGAGGAGAACGCTGGCCGGGCTGACTCCTCTCTTCTTCGCAACCTCGACAATGGCCTCTGCGGTGAACAAAGGGCTTCCTGTGCTTCCCAGAGGGCTGTATGCGGTGATGTGAATTCCCTTCTCCTTGCAGAAGTCAACAATCTCCTGCTGAGGAAGAGAGGGGTGGTTCTCGATCTGGTTGACGGCCGGAACAACAGTCGCCTGGGGCAGTAGCTCCTCGAGGTACTTCTTGCTGTAGTTGGAGACACCGATAGCCTTGGCTTTGCCTGTGGCCAGGAGTTTCTCCATGCTCTTCCAGGTGGTGACGTGGGAGTGGGAGTGGACAATGTCCCGAGAGCCGTCGGGGTGCTTGGGGAACAGCTCATGGTTGCCTTGAAATTAATTAGACTCTTCTGTGGTTGTCAAACGAACAGGTGAAACGTCCTTACCCTCGGGATTCATGGCTAAGGGCCAGTGCATCAGGTAGAGATCAACGTAGTCCAGACCCAGATTCTTCAAGCTCTTGTCCAGAGCCTCTTCGACTCGTGTGTGGTATGTGCACCACAGCTTGGTGGTGACAAACAAATCCTCACGCTTGACCTTCCCAGACTGCAACGCCTCCTTGATGCCATTGCCGACCTCTGTTTCGTTCTGGTAGCAGTAAGCGGTGTCGATGTGTCTATATCCAACCGAGATAGCATGGCTGACAGCCCGTTCGACCTCTCCAGACTTCGATTGCCATGTGCCTGTCTCGAATAAGCCGTCCTGTTTCACTGCGGACGCACGTGGGGGAAGAACATACCCAGACCCAACGCAGGGATCTCCGCACCAGTGTTGAGCTTGAAGCGAGTTTCGTACACAGCCATGATGATTCTTGTGAAGTGACGATAGAAGTGAGAGGAAGCTATATTGTTCCTTAATAGTGTAGGTAATGAGACAAGGATGAAGAAAGGAAGAATGAGAGTCAAAGGGAAGAAAGAATCAGGGATCAGATACGTAGTAGAATATCTGCCCCTCATAGGTATAAAAAGTCCCCCCGCGCCAATGCGGACCAGACACCGAGAGTTTCTCCATCAATCAGCAGCGTGGGGTCGGTCTATCTTTGCGGCGACTATTCCCGAGACGAATGGCATCATCTGTGCCGCGAAGGTGTTATTAGAGTTATTTCTTTTGTGAGAGTGTTATAAGTTATATGTCAGGTGTATGTGATCTGCTACAGAACAGTCGATGACATGGTGGATGACGAGAATTTCCAGGTCTCCCTCCGCTGTACGATCCCCAGTCATCGTACTATCACCATTCTTGTCCCCAGCCTACTATATGCTATAAACAAGACCTGGATGAGACATCTACTGATGCCGCAGTCTCTAATTTGAAGCTGAAAAGGGTCAGAAACCTCTTTTCACTTCCACCTTATGTGACCATGTCAATTGCCATACCCAATACATTTCTGCCGCTCAGGAATCAGAAGACAAAGTCAAAGGAATATGAGCTTTGAATGAAGTTTGAGGAAGATTCCAGAAATGGCAGAGAATTCCGTTATAAACGAGTAATCCATGGGTCAACAACGGTCCATCCCACGCGGAGTCGGTCATCATCATCCAAAGACCGGGGAGAATCAGAATGGGCCTCGGAAACCAGAATCCTAAGACAGTGGCCACAACGGCCGAAATCCGAACTTTGCCCCGCGACTCTGAAGTCAGCAGACAGCAATGGCCAGTATGATTTGCACTGCTGCGTCTCCACTACTGCGTACTCCAGACTGAATGGCCGTCCCTGGTCCAGATCTGTGTCTTCGATCTGCCCTGTCCTGCAGCTGTGGAGATATGTCTGGAGCTTGTCAATTGTAATGGATTCTTGAACATGCGGAAGCCAGAATCCGTGCATTCATGTTACTCCCCATCAGCCTTGTCAAATCAGTCCATATTCACCGTTGTGGGCTTCTTTTCAGGCAATTTTCAGCATGTATTCACGTTGGGTCCTGGATTCCCATTGGCACGTGCCGTTGGACCTATTGGTATTCGTGCTGAACAGTGAATATCTATATACAGGGTCACTGCTACTGAGCAGTGAATGTTCTCTATCGATCATATAATAACATCGCGACGCCCACTGCATCTCTCCTTCCTTTCTTCTCAAGCACCATCACCAGCCTCTTCCCTCCTCTCTATCTCTACCAAGTTCTGTAACCATCACCAGCTCTTCCATTCTCTCAATCTTGACCAAGAAGCAGTACAAAGAGATTTCTTCATCTAGCCTTCTTTCTCTACAACACAATGGCGCCAACTGCGATGAGCCCTGAACCCGCTGTGTTCAACACCAAGCGCGACGGACACGCACTCGAAGACCTCTCGGATGCTATCGACACTGTCAACGTCCTCAAGGATGAGATGGGAAAAGAACGCGGATTGTATGACAAATCAGAGTTCGACAAAAACAAGGACAAGACTCAATTCCGACAGTACGAGGATGCTTGCGACCGCGTGAAGAACTTCTATCGCGAACAACACACAAAGCAGACAGTTGCCTACAACCTCAAGGCTCGTAATGACTTCCACTCGAAGACTCGCGCTGAAATGTCCATCTGGGAGGCCATGGAGAAGCTGAACACTCTGATCGACGAGTCTGACCCCGACACCAGCCTCTCTCAGATCGAGCACCTGCTACAGTCCGCCGAGGCCATCCGTCGCGATGGAAAGCCCAGATGGATGCAGCTGACCGGCCTCATCCACGACCTTGGCAAGCTCCTCTACTTCTTCGACGCCAAGGGACAGTGGGATGTCGTTGGAGACACTTTCCCAGTGGGCTGTGCATTCGACGATCGCATCATCTACGGAAAAGAGTCTTTCAAAGAGAACCCTGACTTCGACCATGAGATCTACGGCACCAAGTACGGAATCTACAACCCTGGCTGCGGTCTTGATAACATCATGCTCTCCTGGGGTCACGATGAGTACCTCTACCACGTGGTCAAGGACCAGTCCACCCTCCCCGATGAAGCCCTTGCCATGATCCGTTACCACTCCTTCTACCCATGGCACCACGCTGGCGCCTACCACGAGTTCATGAACGAGAAGGATCAGGAGATGCTCCAGGCTGTCAAGGCCTTCAACCCCTACGATCTGTACAGCAAGAGCGACGATGTTCCGTCTGTCGAAGAACTGAAGGTGAGCTCATGCCGATCCTCGCGTTTCGCGGCCAGACTCATAAAAGCTAACGCACTTATTTCACAGCCCTACTACCTCGAACTCATCGATGAGTACTTCCCAAACAAGGTGATCAAGTGGTAGACAGCGTTGCCTTGCATCTTGAAAATGTTTCTTCATACAAAGTGGATTCCGGCGTCTCTTTCACAGTGTTTCATACAACTTCTGCCCTCCTCATTTGACGAAAGCGATGGATGATTTTACGACTTCGGTTAAATGCATGCTACTTCGATCTTAATAGATCTTTCTCCCTGTTATCAGCCCTCCTGAGCGAGGGACTCTAGATTGATTGCAGGCACGGTTCAATGGAATTTCTACGCCTGGTATACGGCCAGCAGATAATACTTCAGCGATCCTTATCAATTGTAACGATGTATTTCATGATTGTGATATTTGCATTTTCCACAGCAAGCATAGCAATATCCCTGATACGCAACTCTTCTTGCATGCCATACCAGGAATGACATCATTTTCATTGTCTGTCCTTTACTTCAAGAAAATTCAGGACTCATATGATCTTATCCTATTGCACCCTTGTTGATCAAACGGTGTCTCGGAAATGGGGTTCCGTGTCGGTGGCGGAATATACAATACTGAAATCACTCTTCCGCCTACAATCCGATCTTCAAGAAGAATGTTTACTGTGGCAATTGACGAAAAGGATAAGTCTGGTGTTACGAAGATTTCGAATTGATCTCAAACAAACGGGTCCTCCATTTGGCAGGACACATCTCGTAGAAGTGAGTTCATGAATTGACATCTATCTATAACATGCAATCATGCAAGAAACAAGAAAGAGGGCAGAAGATTCAAAGCCTCGGCTTATCGACACGATTGCCCGCCTCATCAAAGAAGATCTTCTGACCGGTAATCAGAGATTCTTGGAGAGCACTTCCTATCCGGACAGCCTGGACAGCACCCTCGAGCTTCAGAGGGACGTCTTTGTTGTCGAGGCACGAGGCCGTGAACTCATTAGCCTCTGTGACGAATGCGTACTCGAAGCGGTCGTAGTAGTGCTGGGGGATCTCTCGACGCACGCCGGTGTTGTCGAAGATGTTGACCAGGTTCATGGCTGGCTGGGCGTTGACGGTGAGCTTGCCCTGGGTGCCGATGATCTCGGTGGTATCTTCCTGGCCCGCAGCCATCATGCGCGAGGCGTAGAAGTATGCGATTTTGCCATTGTAGAACTCGACCAGACCCACCGCGTTATCGCGGTCGTTGTGTTTGCGGAGGTCCGGCTCGACCGCCGTGATGCCCACGGCTGAGACGGACTTGACCTTGCTGTCCTGACCGAAGAACCATAGCGCCAGATCGATATCGTGGATCGAGCAGTCGACGAAGATGCCCCCGGAGAACTCTGCGTAGGCAACGAAGAAGCCGGTTGGGTCGAGCTTGTCGCAGGTCTGGCTGCGCATCACGGACGGCGAGCCGATGGAGCCCTGGGTCATCTTCTTGTGTGCGTCGCGGTATGAAGCGTCGAATCGCCGGGAGAACCCGCACATAACCTTGAGTTCAGGCTTTCGGGCGGCTGCGTCGAGGACGGTTTGCGACTGGCAGGGGAAGTGTCAGCTGGGGGTTGCAGTGGCATAAGAGAACATGCAAAGGACATACAATCTCGACACTTGTGGACAGGGGCTTCTCGCAGAGGACATGCTTGTTGGCATCAATGGCTTTGATTGCCTGTTCCGCATGCACAGCAGTGGCAGAGGCCACAACGACAGCTTCTAGGCCTTCGTGCTTGAGCATGTCGTCATAGTTCTTGTAGAGCTTCACTCCGTAAGGGGCAAGGTGAACCTTTGCCCACTCTAGCTCTGCATCGTCCGGGGAGCTGGCAGCAACCAATTCTGCTCGCGGAGTGCGCTCCAGAAAGTTCAGGGCATGGCGCTTGCCCATGCGACCGAGACCTGCGCAGCCAATCTTCAACTTTTGGGCGGACATTGTGGTAGGAAAGAAAATGATGAGTGAGATAATAGGCTGTGGAAGGTTGAGATTGATGATGGATTTTAGACCAATTGGTCAGTGAAGGACGGGAATGATGGAAAGGGACACACGCCAGACTGGGGCCGACCAAGAAGACTTAAATCGGCCAGGAAGATCCTTTCCAAGCTCTGGGAAGTGCAGACCGCTATGTCTCCGGCGACAGGTTGTTGGACAAACGACACCAATGTGTCTTACCCCACACAGTGAGGAGAAGTTGCGCAACGCAGATTGAAGAGCTCAAAGGCTGGAACAGGCGAGAGACTCGTGGCATTTCCATTGACAAGCTTTGAAACCAGGAATTAGGAACCCAGGATCTGAATGATGACTTCCGGAGGTGATACTACCCAGGAGTCGTCAGATTGTTCCAGAGTATCCACTTGGAGCAGCAGCGGGGAAAAAGGTCGGAAAAGAGCTTCCAGGCTGAATTCCTGGAGCGGATGCCTGAATCCAGCAACTTTCCCCGCTTCAGTGGCTGCGCTATAGCCTATTGTTATGAGTATGATCGTCCCGCAGCGCTTAGCAGTTTCGGACTGCGGAGTACTATCTATCTAAATGCTCGAGCCAATTCAATCTTCGAAGCGTTCGTCGGCTAATTGATCAGGTTAGAGACTTTAGCATAAGCAATGGGATGATGCGCCATGATAGAGGGATAAGAGTAGCGCCGTTGTGGCGTTGAACGAGCTAAAAATGAACATACAGTTTTCATCAGAGCCGCAGGTTCTTCTATTCATCATGAGACGAGAATGTCTATCATTGCTCCGTTGTAGTGTAACGGCTATCATACCTGTCTTTCACACAGGAGATCGGGGTTCGATTCCCCGCAACGGAATGCTTTTCTTTTTGTTTGTCTTTCTGCCAGCTGGTCTCCTGTCGCTGTCATTGAGATTCACACAACAGAGTAGTCCTGTATCTGATGTGAAGCTTCATGATCAGTATCACTGCTGAACCAGTTCTGCTTAGAAATTAGAAGTTCTCTGTAGAGCCAGGTCAGTATGGCCTTTCACGTGCTCACCGCCGGACTTTCTCCTATTCCCCCGCAGAGCTGTCCGCATGGGTTTGATCGTTTGGCAGGCATGGCGCAGTCCTTGACACTTTTTGGTCCATCCTTCCTCATTCGAGATCCTGACTGAATAGACCCTGATGATTCGTTGCAATGGCATTTTGAATTTCTTCACAGCTCCCACGAGAGATTCCTTTCCATTCGTCGCATAATTACTCCTAAGCAACGCGTTATCCGTCGCGTCCTGGTTGGAGTAAGAGCAGAGCTCAGCTTCAAAGTCGTGCGCAAGAGCCACCATTACTTTGCTCTAGGTCAGGTCAGTGAGATTCTAAAAAGTCATGTTGATTTATCTTCGCCCACTCACTTTTCTTTAGATTCTCCATCTCGTCTATTTTCGGCCGCCGCATCGTACAGATAAACCTCGCAATACCCGTCATGGACTCGCCCCGTCCCCGTAACTGGAACCAAAAGTTATTTGCCACGTATTTGGGCGCGACAGGCAGGGAGATCGCCGAGTTGAGGCGCGTGCTGACGCAGTTGATGACCGCGCATGGCAAATTGGACAAGGGGTACAAGTCGAAGGCTGCGAGAACGGAACTGCAAGAGTGGATACAATCGAACCTGTACCAACTACCTGGCTTCGTCCAAGATGCCTGTTTCAACAAGTCTCGGATGGACGGGCTAATGGGCATGGCCTATAAGATCAAGAACGAACATGTACATTATCTTTCAGCACGCGACAGACAGAATCAGGCCGCCGAACCGCCATCGAGCAGCTTCGACCAGGGCAGCAGCGTTGTCCACGGAAGCCAGAGAGTTGAACGGGAAGATAATCACGTGGTTGATCAGCCCACCAGCAGTATCCCCAGCAATGCGGTTGATCAGCAGGTCGATGCAGTCGACGAGGCCGGACCTGCAGTCACTGTGGAGGAGGAGACTGTCGCAGAGCCCCCGAGCAAAAGAGCCAGGACAACACCGACTCAAGCTGCTCCAATCCAACCTCCCCTGCCAGATCTGCTCTCCCGGAATATATGGGTTCTGAACGAAGTGAACCCCGCTCAGCATGGCCTATGCTCGATGCAAGACCTTCTTACAACCCCAGAATCTCGCAGCATCAATTTCATACCGCGGCTCATGGACTTGGACTTTGACCATTGGCTTTCGATAGTTGAGGCGCAATGTGGCTACGACTTTACTGCGCATCGTTTGGAATATCGCCCTCCAGCGAACGTGGTGTCTCGCTCGCTGGGTCTACCCCCGATCACGATTCCGATGTCGACACAAAGTCAGTGGCGGGGTGCGATAAACTCGCAGATTCATGTCGAAGGTGGCCGAGATCCTGTTTTTTATTTGGTTTCACAGTGTGAGTGTGATCGCATATAGCCTGAATGTCAGTGTTACTAACCTGATTTCAGCAGAAGAATTACGAGAACCATCGCCGCCTCCACTACCTTCGCCTTCATCTGCGAACAATGCTTCCCGCGCTCGTGACCCTCTTGTCATCAAGCAAGAGTACGTCGAGGAACAAGTGAGACTCGCAGGAGTGCAATAATTGATGTTCCTGGCGCAGTGTCGGACTATTTTAGTATCATGAAGGCATCGAAAGACCAGGTGCCGATACGAAGAGCTCACTCTTGTGCCTGAGCGCTGGATTAATCTTTTATTATCTCCTTTACGATGGTCGCTCGGAATGCCTAGACATCACTCATACTCATCGCTATGGGACTAAGATACTGAAATATATCACCAAGGCGCAAAGAATTGAAAGCAAGTCAAGTGAAGTGCAAGGAATTCATAGGCACAATTTATGGAAACAGGACGCTCAAAGATCATGGGTCTCGACTACATTACGCTCACGACTCATTACCAGAGTGCTTTTGCGCAGATGCCTTTCTGGCCTTCTTCTTCGCCGCAGCCTCCACAGGGTCAACGTAACCATCTCCTCGCAACCACGCCAAGGACTTTCTAACACCTTTACCCTGGACAGCGGATGGGCTATTCTCCAGCAAGGAGCCCATGACCGCCCAGGCGAGGACAATGATCCACAAGTCTCCACCCTTCCAGCCTTTCCAAAAGCCACGTTTGACACCACCATCCCACGCTGAACGCACCGCCAACCGGAAGAAGTATATGAAGATGCTTCGACTGTTCCCGAGGAAGGCAAACGGCATGCCTGCAACAGCACCGCTGAGGAAGAAGCGCTTCGTGGGGAGGACGGAGCGTGGCAGGATGGCATTCCAGAGACACAAGGTGCCCCATGCAGACCCAGCAGCGGCGGACAGTATGGCTGTCAGCTTGATGATCTTCGTTGAAAGGTTATTCACCGCCGAGATTGGTTGAGACAAGATTGTCTTGAATTTGAGCACCGATAGTGCCAGGGTGACGGTTGTCAGGAACCGAGCAAGGGGCGGCACCGAGAGGAGAATATGATGCAGGAATGCTGTGCCGCAGCTGGGGCTGCTCGGGTGAAGCAAAGCACATGCCAGATTAGAAATAGATGGGTGCGCGGGCCCAGTAATGGGTGAAATGAACTTGACTGCCGATGGCAGAGTGTTCGGATCGGCAGGATGCAGAATCGGCGAAATAAATGCTCTGTCGCGTCATAGAATTAATAAGTCGGATATCATATGCTTTCCACAGAAACGTAGAACTCACGGCCACCGCAACCTAGCAATGTTTGCCAGTGAATCGACCACAGCTTCCTTGTCCGGCCATGGAAAGTCCGCCGGCAGACTATCTGGTCGACCGCGGATGTAGCTTGGGGACAATCTGAATAGAGTGTTTCCGAACCACTATGCATCAATTAGTACATGCTCTCACAGCAGTGCGCAAACACGGAGAGAACATACCTTCGGCACAGTCTCCCGATCAAAAACAAACGCATGGAACAGCTGCGCACACGACACCGGCATCAACAACCAGCTCCCGAACCACCAAGGCCGATCCCCCAACCACCCTTTCTCCTCCAACGCATTGAACACGAACTCCATCGTCCGCGTCCCTGCATAAATGGCCGCCGTAATCCGAAGCTGCGTCTGCGGACAAATGCCCAGCGCGAAACCGGCCATACTTGCCCCGACGGCAGGCGCATACCGCGACGTCAGTGCCCTGGAGACACGCGGATTTCGCTCGCGGAAGGGCCTCGCGTCATCTGTGCGGAGGTTCGTGCGGAGTTTGACGAAGAAGCGATGGAGGAAACGGTGGAGGAGGAGGACAAGGGAGAGCGAGAGCGAGAGGCGGAAGTTGGGGGAGTGGAGGATTGAGGAGCGTGATTTCTTCCTAGCATTGGAGCAAAAGCGTCAGCGCGACCTACGATTATTCTGAACTTGTTCCCGCGATATTGTATGTCTTACTTGGACAGATCGCCCTGGATGCGGCGGACGATTGCATCTACGAGTCTCAGCAGACCGCCAGACACCAGGAAGACTCGCAGGGAGGCCCGCAGTGCGGCTTCATTGTGCTTGTTCTTTGATCGGACGATGGCTTCGTAACGAGACGGCGAGGGAGCCTTGTCTTGGATGGAAAGAGGTGTGCGCTGGATGATGTATTCGTGGAGGAGCTTGTATTCCTTGGCGCTGAGGGTGATGCGGAGAGCGTTGCGAACGAGAGGCCGGGCGTCTGGGTCCCCGGGCGTCATGTTTCATCGATTTCGGGCAAGTTTCGAATAGATGCTTCGCCGCTTGCAATAAAATCACGAACTAATGGATGAGGCGGAGGGAGAGGCGAGGATGCAGAAAGGAAACGAAATGAAATGGCCAGGATTTCTCCGCTTCGCGCATGCAAGCTGAAGTCACGGACCGCTGGCAACCTCGGCTTGTTGTGAGTGGATGCAGGAAATAACCAACGGAGGATTGCAATACGAAAAAATAGCATTTATCCATGCGAGTGTCGCTCATAGAACAGTCTGTTTGAACTGAACTGCAAGATAACAGTGGATTCAGAATGGCTTTAAGATTCATGACTGTAATGATGTCTATCACAGGCCATCTACGTTGCTCACTTTACTTTGCAAGTGAATGTCAACAATCATTAAACCCCATACAGGCCCCGAAATGTCCATCATTTCCTCAGGGAAAATGCGTACAACGATGCACACTGATTATCAAGATGGAGAGTCGAAGGTCGAAGAGAGGAACATGATAATGGCAGTAATGGCAGAAGACATACACACAAAAAGGGGAAGAAAGGGGGAATATCAACGCCATGCAAGAAACCACCGTAACACAATTCGCGCCATTATAAGACTCCAGAAAATTTAGACTGCAGGAGAAAGATCACCAGAAACTACACCATCCAATCCAATGCTGGCATATGTTCTCCACGCTCGTTGCCTGCGCGAGGAGTTTGTCCACTTGATCACTCACATTAAGCTCTTCAGTGGGCTTGAAGTCTCTACCTGTGAGCTTCTCCTTCACTCGAGCAAGCACCTGCACCGCTCGTGCATTCTGTGCCTCACGAGCTTCAGGCGGAATGCCCTCCTGGACATCGAGGATGCCACCGTCGAGGATAGATGGGCGACGGTGACGGGAGAAATTGCTGGGTTGAACGCCATGTTCAAGGTTCATGACGGACGTAATCGACTGCCGGCGCTCAGTGCTGAACGGCGGCCGTTCTGGCGACTCGCGAATGTTCAGACGCCAGTTGATCAAGGGATCGTGAATGAACTGTAGTAAAAGATCAAAGGTCAGTTTCAAATCACCATCTCCGTAAATATTGAGTTAAAAGTGGATAAGACGTACCGCTTCAAGAACGGCCATAAGGGAATCCTTGTTGTCTCTGATCACGCGCATAACAGCCTCGCAAGTGATACGGTAGCTTCCCTCAATATTGCTGACTTCCATGGCGAAGGTCAACATGCGAGTCAACCGGAAGGGCACCCGCTCTGGGTACTTCTCACGGTGCATTGCCACCTCAAAGCAGTCACCGAAATCGATATGGACCACTCTTCCGGTGGTGCGCTCCAGCAGAAGGTTGGACGGGTGACGGTCACCCAGACCCAGAATATAGCCTACCATCGACATGACGCCCAGAGATCTTGTGTAATTCGTCCGTCGCTCAAGCCAGGCCTCGGAACTCTTACTCTTGAGCCACAAAACACGATACAGATCCTTTCCGGTAGTGTTGTCCATGGCGTATCCGAAGACCTCGACCTTTTGCATCAAAGTGAGATTGTCGTAATCTGGCGCCATCTGCAGCATAATGCGATGTTCGATATTGAGTAGGATGCGGCGACTTTCACGATACTCCTTGATCAGTGCATGTAATGTATCGCTGTTGCAGACCCATCCCAGGAGACCAGAACTCTGAGACAAGGGGATTGCAGGGAACCGCTGGACGGAAAGATGGCGCTTAAAGGTTTCACCGTCGTTATCAAGCAAGGTGTTCACAAGACCGAACAACTGCATGACTCTCTCATCCTGCCGAATGTCCTCATGTCCCTTGAGGAGATACATGTAAGAGCTTCCGTTACTTCCCTTCAGAGTCATTCGTCGAGGTCGCTTCTTAGTTTGAAGCACGTGCAATATAGGATCGAAGCTGATGATTCGGATGATTGGTCTGCCACTCTGGTAGGTTCCAGGAACAGCAAGGGCAAGGTCATGGCAGTCCTTGAGCCTGGGAGAGACATATTTGAGGTCAAGAGTCGACAACTGTGGAAGCTGCCGGCTAATCTTGCGGAATACAGTATAGTAGAGATCCCAAGCTTGGTTCAGATCGCCAATTTCTTCCGTCTCACGATACAGCATACAGTAGTGCTTCGCCTCTGCAAGATCCCGTCCAAATGCCTGGGCGAAAGAAACCTCACGTAGGGTTTCCGCACCCTTGTCAAGCATGTCATGCAGTGGCGCCAGGGTTGCAAACATGCCCTCCACATCATGGTCACCGAAGTAGAGCCGAGAGGCTTCCTCCAAGCCTTCATGCCAGAGTTCGTGCCACAGAACCGCGACTCGAATCAACTCATGACTGACAAGATCGGCTTGCTCAACTAAAGTAGCACTGTGCTGCCGCATACTATCCATAATGGTGCTGGCGGATTGCGAACGGCGGGTAATATGTGATTTCATCGCAACGGTCAATGGGTACACCAGCGCCTGCGGGTGGGCCTTACCTACTTCGGCCAGTAGGCGATGAACAGCGGTTCGAACCTTGAGGTTTGGTTGATTGATACGAGCGATGAGTTGTGGAGTTACCGCAAGCCAGGTGTCAATGTTTACTGTGGTGAAGCCTTCTGTGACAACATTATTCACTTCTTGGTCACCGCCGTAAGTGAACCAGAGGGTCAGAAGTCTCAGGATATCCTGAAGAGATGAGGTCGACGACAAAGCAATTGATCTGAGGAAGCCTCCAATGGCAGGTATGACATGCTCTGTCACAATATGGCCAGGGACTACGGGCTTGATACTTCCGTCCCTGCTTGCCTGACTGGCAATCGTTGTCACGACTTCAAAGTTGGCCAACGCCCAGGAATGCCAGGCTTTGTACGAGTCGCGGTTGTATTTCGTGGCCGCGGAATATGCGCCAAGAACCTCGCGAACGTGTTCGGGCTTCCAGTCG